TATCAATGCAATGGCATGCAACCGCAAGCTATTGTATAATATCAAATAGGATACTTTCCTTGTAACCCTACCCCTCCAGAGTATATAATGAGAGGCAGGGGTCCCCTACTCGACATCTCAATGCAATACATCAGAACACATGATGTAGGTATTACGTCATACCGAACCTGTCTAAATCTTGTGTCTTGGTGCTTGTATTACCATCTCGCTCCTGATCTTGCTCATCTCTACGACAAATCTACCATCGTGGGATACCTCTCGGTGGACTGCCGAGCATCTTTTGTCGACAATCACTTTAGCCATAATTACCTTGACCAATTTTCCATCGCACTTCCTTTGGTACGACTTATGGTCAAGATACCGAACTTTCCCCACTTTGTATAATTATACATCCACATCTATCCACGTGCGCTAATATATGCACCTGGGTGTGCTTCATCGACACCTGATTGGGAATTTTATCACCCAACCCTCTCCTCACTTGCCATAGGGATTATACAACAACTACATGGGTACTAGAATCGGCCCGTCCCAATCGAGTTCATGGTTGACACGAATTTAAACGATCCAATAACACAAGTGAGAGTTGGTTATTAGTCCTACCAAACTTTTCCATCCAAATATACAGTAGGGAATTAGCTGCTCCATCAGCTAACCCCATGTCATCAAATTCATATGTCATTCATCCATCCATAGTTAATTTCAGAAAATAATATTTAATGCAGGTTACTTTTATTTTCTCAAACTTTATATAAAAACTCAAGGAGAAAATGATCAAGGATTCTTGCCTGAGTTGTTAAGATTCAACTCGGGCTCAATTTGGTTCACTGGAGGTTCCTGCGCCTGACTTTGCTCGCTTCCCGTAATTAGTATATATATATATATATATATATATATATTGACATTTAGCAGGGATAGAAAACACACAAATATATATACACAATACATACGTAGCCATATGGTCGTCCTACAGTCAAGAAATAGCCTCCTGGTGTTTAGTGTCAATTATATGCTGTGATTTATAAAGGAATATTGTATAGCTGTGGTTAGTAAATCATTGAATTAGTTTAGTATTGTTAAGTGTTCTGTTCGTTTGGTTTATAAGTCGTACTTTTTCAGCAAATAAATAGTTTTTTTTCACAACAAATCAGTTAACAGTATTTTCAGCCATGTCTTATCAGCCAAACAAATAGGGCAAAGCTCTCTTTGCTCTCACGTGAGCTGCACCTGCACTCAATTGAATGAAGCCATCCACCGCTCGGTACTACTACTACTTTGCAGCCCCAAATGCACTAGCAGTTAAGCAGGTCAACAAGCAAGGCCGCAAGGGGCAACACACATATGCACTCTCCTCTCTCCCTTTCTCTCTCTGTGCTTCTTTCCCCTTCCTGCAGATCGACGACCATGGTTGCGGGGCTCTCCAAAGATTCCTACCCAAAATAAATCTCTGAGGTTTCTAGCTGTTATGCACTGGTTTTCCCCCTTCGATTTCCCTTGATTTTCCCCCTCTCTGATGTGTGCAGGTCGTCGGTGGCGACAGCGTGCTCCACCGAGGTGTCGAGCTGGGCAGCCATGGCGCCTAGGCAGGGCCAAGGAACCCGTGTGTGCTGCTGTATGGTGGTGTGCAGGGGTTCAGAATCCGGCACTAGATCCCCAACCTGACAATGAGTTCTCCTCTCCCACATCTTACTTTTCTCTCTCTTTTTTTAGCATGCAACTCTGTAACTCAAACTACATTACAAATAGTATCAGAGCCAATTCTCGTGGTTTCATGAACGTATGGCTCGGGAGCTCGGACAAGTTGCGCATGGCTCTACAATAGCATGGCACTTGGGCCGCGGAGCTGGGAATATGAACATGGCCAAGAGAGTCGATCTTGTATATTTGTTCCGTATGAATAAGCTGGTTCGATAGCTCGACGAGGACGTCGAACCCATTGAGGGCGGGTGGATGTGAGACCCAGCTCATGGGCCAAATTACGGTTGGGCCGGACTACTATAGCTATAACGTTGAATTGGGCTAGGCTAAATTCGAATTCACTGTAGCGATGAGTTACTGTAGCTATAGAAAACACTGTATAACCAGCAGTTTAGTACATACCGTGAATTCTAAGTTCGCTGAAACAGCTTAAATAGCCAGGCCCAGTGAGAGTAGTAACTTTCGGTTAATCGTTTTGCGCGAAGCGAGGACGAAAACGTAAACGGGTTGCTACGTATGTGGGGTCCACTACTTGGTAGAGTGAACATGTGTCGTGTGCGGACCTAGAGTGTTACAGAAGCATACGAAGAACCGAGAAACAAAATGGAAAAAGAAAGAAAACACAAGCAAAACACGAGCTACATAGACACCTGGTACCGTGTAAGAGTTGCTCTACGGCCAACTACAAGTTACCCCTTCCACATGCAAATATGAGGTGGTACACTGGTACATCACGAGTCAATCGCTTAAATTTGATAAAAAAAATACTAGTACTGACTATTAGCTTTGCGAGAAATGATGTGGTGATAACTCATTATATTTCTCAAATCAAACAAAAAAGTGAACATGTTAGAGTAGTAACTCATTCTACAAATCAGACACTCTTTTTATTAATACTCCCATGGATAAACTCAGGTTTCTACAACATATATACAACTTATTTTCCCCCAAATACGTTGGAGAATCGCGCTCAAGGTGCACGGCTTCTAAAACGGATACTCAGTAGTAACTCATTCTACAAATCAGACACTCTTTTTATTAATACTCCCATGGATAAACTCAGGTTTCTACAACATATATACAACTTATTTTCCCCCAAATACGTTGGAGAATCGCGCTCAAGGTGCACGGCTTCTAAAACGGATACTCACAGATCAGCTTGATCCGGTGCACGATGTCTTCAACCTGCTCGACGTCCAACAAGCGTGCATTCCTCTCCCACGTGAGTTGGCCGGATCCCACGTACACTGACAAATTAAAAGTGCTAGCACTTTTTTTTCTAAAAAAAAGTTAGTATTTTTTAGATAAAAAGTGCTAGCTGAAGACAATAATTGGACTTGATTAGTGGCATGTGGTAATTCATGAGAAACAAACAAGGTGTAGAGACAAACAATAGCATGGTCAAGCAGAGAAGAACATTGAAAAAAGTTTAGACAAAACAGAGGTACAAGATGAGCAAAGAAGAAGCATTCTTAAGGGTTTTTCCAGTGTATTACCTAATTAATTAGAAATCTTTATAACTAACCAACCAATATACAGTATCACCTCTCCTAACTAACATAAAGCATGAGAGTTGTGATATCGGTGATCATGCTTAATTAATTAACCCTAACCATCTGTACTTTTTGTTATCTACTGGTGTGTTTTGACAACGACAACATTACGTTATAAATGTCATGTTTCCTCTAAAGAGAAGATGCATGTCACCTTTTCAAACTATAAAACGAACCAAAATTCGAAAAACTACCCCGTATTACCACACAAGCCATTTTTGCATTTTTAGGAGCTGTTCGACAGCACTCCCATCTCCATATTCTCCATGGCAAATGCTTCTAGATAGTCAAACGGGTTTACACTAAGAGCTCAGAGCTAAAAATAAAACCCCTCTTCTCAACACTCTATATTCAATTTTCGCTAGAATCACTTCCCATCTGCTTTCAACCCCCACCCCCCCACCCCCCCCACCCCCCACCCACACACACACTAAACTTGCTCTATCATAGAATCAGAGAGTGAAGCTCTACTAAACATATCCTCGTATTCTAACCCAAAAAAGCATATTTTGTTATACGCACCCCACTTGTTTTTGTTGAAAAAAAAACCACCCTACTGTATGGTTGCACACACGCATTGAGTTGATTGCACTGAAATTTTCCCTAAAATGTGAGGCCATTAATGCAGCTTTTTATCGGAGTTCCCTGCATTTTTTAAGCTTCCTTCAAAAGAATCACCGATGAAACTCAAATGTGATTACACCGATTTTTGTCAGGTGGCTCCACATTGGCTAAAACTTGCAGGATTAGCTAAGCACATGCACGGTTAGGTCATTTTTTATTATTTTGCAATAGAATAGAAGTGGACTAGGGGTGAGCAGGCATGCATTTTTGCAACAAAACATGTTATGAATTAGAATACCAGGACACTACCAACCAAGGAACTATATGGTTTCTATTTTCATTAGTTGGAGTGTCAGCTAAGCAAAATGATGACGTGACACTGCAATTAAAGAAGAAAGAGGAGAAAATGGTTTCTTAAATAAGAAACCATGTCTACACCAGAACCAAGTCATGAACAGATGTAATAGGTAGATGGAGAGAGAAGACATGTGATTGGACAAAAATTATTATGTACTCCATCCATTCCAAATTACAAAACGTTTTGGCTTTATGTATTTAGACATAGCTTGTACCTAAGTGCATATAGCAAAACTATGTGTGTATCTAGAAAAGCCCGAACGTTTTATACTTTAAAATAGAGGGAGTAGAAAGTATCCATTAATAACATATGTTTCTATGTCTAGTGCCGACATCAATAATTGATATACACAAAAAGGTGTTTAGCATTGGACTGTCCTCATACATAGGATTTTCTTTTTCTATTTCTATTTCCTTAACGAAACAGAGACCATGAGCTGCCAATTACACCGTGCCGTACATAGATACATCCGCCATAACGGCGGCGCGATCTTAGGTAGCCTATGAGGTCATGGTGATTGGGGTTGGGGATACTACAACGGTTAGCAGGCGGCGGCGCGCGGCAAGTGTCACCCACGTTTATGCAAGCAAGGGGCGTCGTCCCCGGCAGCAATGCGCGAGCGGACGCATGCATAGTGGTGCCCTTGTCTTTTTCCATCCAATCCAAAGCAAGAACGCTCGAAGGACACGCATAGTGTATTAAGCAAGTCGAAGCCGCGATTGGAAATTTTCATCCACGAGGAAGGAAGGAGGGCGGCGTAAAAACTCTAGTAGTAACAATAATTAGGGAGATATTACAAGGTAAATAATAAACCTAATAATAACCTATCATATCTGGCAGCCGCAGCAGCAGAAGAAGCAGGAGAGCGCGAGGCCCAGCACGACGGCCTCCACCACGTACATGACGCGGAACGCGGCGGCGTCCAGCAGCGCCGACGCCCACCCGCCGCCGATGGAGACGCGCTTCCACCTCGGCAGCCCGCCGGCCAGCAGCCTGGACGCCGACCCGCCGCCGCCGCCCAGCTTCCGCTGCCGGCGGTGCTCCCGCGGCGGCGGCGGCACCATCAGTCGCCGCAGCCACCCGCCTCGCCGCGGCTTCGTCGTCCTCGTCGTCGCGTCGTCGGCAGCGGCGGCGGCGGCGGTCGCTGTCCTCCCCTTCTCGGCTACCGCTGCCACGGCCGAGTACATCATCATCCGCTTGATCCACCCCCTGCGCTTCTGCACCGGCGCTATATCGTCCAGCTGGCGGTCTGCGGCCGTGGCCATGGACGTCGGGAGTGGAAGGAGGAGGCGGCGTGGGTGAAGAAGATTCTTTGACGGGACAGGAGACGTGGGTGGCGACGTGCGTGCGAGCGTGCACCGGGCGAGCGGTGCAGCAGGGAAGCCCGTTGCGGAGACCGGGGACGTGACGACCTGGGGTTATAAAGGGAGGAAACCGCTTCTCGGGTTGGAGAGTCCTCTGCTCTCGCGTTTTGCAACCTGGGGTCAGGCCGCAGGGTTTTATTACACGTACTCCGAGTCGTTTGTGTAGAAGGATTAGTACAGCTTGTCATTAATTGTCATGGTTCCGGTTTGGTTTGATGCTCTCGCAGCGCCAAAGTGAACATGTGAACTTCCAGAAGCTACCACGATGTTTATTTAGACCCTGTTTAGTGGAATGGAACTCTAGAAAAAAAATTTGTATCTAGAGCTGCAGGAATGTCAAATACATTTATATGACTTATTTTATAGTTATATTAAACATATAAAAAATAAATTACTTTAGTTTAGATGATAACTGTAGATGCAGCATAGATCTCGAAGTTGGGATTGTGCTAAATGGGTCCTTACAGAAAACAAAACGAAATCTTACTTGGGAAGTCAAACATACATTTCAAATGGACATATCTATTTACTTGGGAAATAATATAGAGCGAAAATTTTCTTGGTCCTTCGTCTCTCACAACTGTTAGGGATCCGTAGGACTCAATCTTTCTCTTGTACAAATTAGAGCAGTAGCGTGTCTAAAGTGTGGAACGATTCCAAAACAACCGGAAGACAAAGTGTTTCCATGGTCCATCACTCTCTTCCATTCCGTGTCCGAGGTAAGTGTTCAGTCATTGACGTGAATTTCGATCCCAAAACAAATTAGAACACATGACATGACTAATAATAAGTCTTTAACCCTCGTGTATACAAATTTGAGTACCATGTGTCTAAACATAGTACAAAGTTTGATTTCTAGATGATTTGAAACACGCGACATGATCGCTAAATAAATCTTAGCCAAAAATCGCCCGAGTAACTTGGCAACAAGCTGACCCTACGGATATATAGTACAAAAATAAATAAAATTAAAACTTCCAGAAGTGATTGCTGGTCGTCGAGAATCAAATAAAATCAAAAGAGGTCTGAAAGTTGTGGAGTTCAAGTGCCTTATTTCCGTCACTTTTTCCTCGGTTCCGCGTTTGCCAGACGAGACGAAAAAGAACGTGGGAGCGTATCTGAATGAAACCGAGCGTGCAAACGCAAACACTTGGCGCATGCAGAACGGTCAGGTGTAGCAGTCCGCGGAACAAGTTTTACAGGTAGGAGGAGGAGGAAGAGGAGGATTCGCAGGCTCGAGGGGGCTGGCTGGCTGGCTGGAGCCCAACTGGCCGTGCCAACAAGGCGCCAAGGCCTACGGCCTACCAAGCTGGTTCCGTTCCGTCCGTGCCCACCTTTTGGCTCCCGGGCCCGGCCACCGCATGTCCGCATGATCACCCCGTTTGTTTGGACTTTTGGTTTGGTTCATAAGTCGTATTTTTTAGTTAATAAGCAGTCTTTTTTCTCACAAGAAATCACCAACAAGATTTTCAACTATGGCTTATCAAGCGAAAACGAGAATGCTCAACGGCGGTTGAAATTCAAAGCGCAAAGCCTAGCTTTTTTCTTGGTTTTTTTTCTCCGTTTATGAGAATGAATTGTGGAGGACTGGCCAGTTGGAAATTATGTGAAACCGCAAAGCCTTTTTGAATTGAAACCCGCGATTTGGTTCACGATTCCCCATCAAATTGAGTTCGTTTATGCAAAGAGAAGATTTAATCTAGATTCACCGTTGACTAGCTGGTTCAGGTAAACAGTACTCATGTGAGAGGGCTGGCCAGCCCAGCCAGCCCCAACCAGCCCAGCGATCATGCTTGAACGCTTGGTCAAGCAAGGCAGCAGCCTCGAGCAGCGACGAGAGCCAACCGTTAGCTGAATCGTTGGTAAGGGCTCGACCGCAGGCTCGAGACCCCAAAAACCACACTGTATTGGGAGCAGTTGGTTCGCGGCTTGCCCTGCCCATGGCTCTGCTTCTGTGAGCCTGCACTGCATGACGTCTGCATCCGCACACTGGTAACAAAGAGGCATCATCAGTTCTTTTTATGGCACCAGCAAGCTAGCGCTGCCGCTATACCTTTCATGATTCAGGCCGTTGGTCACCGCTGGAAGTTCGTTACACCTGCACACCGGCGACCGGTACGTGTGCTCATTAAAACCTTCTGCCAGTTGGGCGCGGCAGTATCGGGCCCAAATTAACATCGAGCAACGGCCGGAACGAGCTGAGCGCATGCAATGCGCACAAAACTCTCGTGCGGTCGTATGAAAAGAGGGCCGCTCACATGGGCTGCATGAACGAGTGAGCAATCAGCCTATTCTTCCTCCCTGCCAATCAATCAATCAAGCAGCTGGCCCCGTGACTCCGTCGAAATTCCGGGAAAACACTGCATCGCTAGTCCGCTACGCCGACGACGTCTCTTTCACTTGGACTTATCTGGACTGCTATCATGCACTCACTGATGCACATTTGTAACGATGGATTGGTGCCTCCCTCGGCAGCTGGAAAGCCTGGAGTATACCGGTATCGTGTGGTTTAATTTCTGAAACCGGCCATAGCTAACCAAAATGTTGTTGCATCTGTTTTCTGATGAAGGGGGTACAGTTATATACAGTGTGTGTGAAAAATCTTCCTGACGATAAGGCAGTGGTGTTCGTCGCTACTCGGTCTCGATCTGTGTCCTCGCTAGCTGCTCCTCGGTTTACCTACGTATTATGCCAAATCGGCGTCAACTCGGCGTAGTAATATTAATAATATTGAACAGTGTTATAGCTCGACCTAGTATCGCAATAATATTAATAATGCCAAATCGGCGTCAACAGGACCCTTGATCATGCTCGATCTGGTTTAGCTCGTTCATGTCCGCCTATAGCTAGCTAACGTACGGTTCGGTAAGCACGGATAATTGCATGCCATGATGATATAGGAGAAGGTGATCACGTCATTGAACAGAGGATGATAACCTAGAGCTGCTAATTAACATCCCAGGAAAGTCAAAGTAAAGACGCCCTAGAATCAGTGTATTTTCCTGATGATCCATGAGAGCTAGAGGTGGCTAATTAGCGAGAGGCCTGAAGTTTTAAAAGCTCAAACCTAGCTATTTGGACGAGCTTACAAATTTATATTCAAATGTTAGATTAGCGGAGGCAAATGCGGATCTAGCACTGGACAGCCAGGGCGGCTGAAGCCCTCTACTCTACCCCTCCGATCATCCACTCGCCCAAAATTTCAGCGATAGAAGATTGAAAGAAGGGGTTAGAATAGAATGAAGATGATGAGAGGAGTCAGGAGACCCTCCTAGCCCTAGTAGTTGTTACTAGGTCCACACCTCTCAGCGGAGCTTTCTTAAGAAGAAGAAGAAAAAAACTTTTGTTTCTGATTCAAATGCTGAATACAGGAACAGGAGATTCCTCCCAATGCAAGCCGGGGAACTTGGAGCGTAATAAGCAACCAATTAAGCCTTCTTCGTCCGGGGTGGCTGCAGCTACTGCTGCTAATCATCAGCGGTCAAGGGTTCTGGAAGACTGGAAGCAATATATTTTGTACAGTTAAAACATGCAGCCATGCATGCAGGTCAATTCGTTCGCGAACCCGACATCCGACCCGTCCGTCCTTAGGGCGGGTGCCCACGGCTGGCGGACTCGAATCTCTAGTGCAGCCTGTCGCGATAGAGACGTCCAAGAATCTGGGCCAGGTCGGGTCAAAGCGGACGTGCGCGCAACACTCGGCCCTCTCGCCGTGGTGACGTTCCAACATGTCTTCTGGAATCTGGATCGGAACGGAACCTTCAAAAATCAAAACCCGTTTCAGTTTGCGCGGCGAACCCCGATCGCGATAAAGGATACGGAGCTGTTTAACTGTCTTTAGCCAAAGGCGTGAGTCCGACGAGCCAGCCCAGCTGATGCAGGCACGCACGCACTGCAGCACAACCGTTGGTTTCGGGGTGCACCACCACGGTCCAGGGGCTGCAAATGAAAACGAAACCAACGAGCTGTGCGACGAATATATGCCGTTATCTTATCATGGATCTCACAGCGTACGTACGTGCACTCTGCACTGGCACCAGAGAGATTCCCTCCCGTGTGCTCCAGAGAGAATCACGCGTTGTTCCTCCCTCCTAATTTTTTACTATTTAACCCTTTTTTTAATAAAATTTATATTTGGCCCCCTGAGAGATTTAAACTCATCTTTGTACCCTGGGCGTCGGCGCCATGAGTTCTGGCGCTGAGGTAACACGTCTCGGCGCCACAGATCTTGGCGCCGAGGTAACTGGTCGTGCACAGAAGAAAATCCTACGTGGCTAGTACCTCGGCGTCATAATACATGGCACCGACCTCGGCGCCACGGACTCTGGCGCCGACCTCGGATAATTAAAAAACCTAGCGTGTAGCAGTGCCCTTGCGTCAGGATGGAGCAACCGCACCACGTGCCTGTCAGGGAGCTCAGTGACCAGGTACGCAGCATGCTTCGATTCGGACGGCATCGCTTTGCAGTGCGCGCGCAGAGGCGTGGGCGACGGACTGGGCAGCGATGGGACGAGGCGGGACGGCGAGCGGGGCTCAGGCACTTGAAAGGAATAAAAAACAGCAGGCCATCGTTTCATGCGTCACGCGCTGTCAATCGTGCTCGTGTCGTGCCTGTTTGATAGGAGTACTAGTAGGAGGAGTACGTATCAGGCTATCAGCTCAGCTACTAATAAAGAGCATCGAACTTATGGGGTGTTTGGTTCTTTAGTGGCTCGTAAAATTCATGTCACATCGAATGTTTAGATACTGATAAAGAGTATTAAATATAGATTAATTATAAAATCAATTACATAGATGGAGGCTAATTTGCGAGATGATTTTTTTGATAACTAATTAATCTGTCATTAGCACATGTTTACTGTAGCATCACGTTGTCAAATCATGGACTAATTAGGCTTAAAAGATTCGTCTCGCAAATTAGTCGCAAGTTATGTAATTAGTTTCGTAATTAGTCTATATTTAATACTCCATGCATGTGTCTAAACATCCAATGTGACAGGAATTTTAGGAGCGTCTGTACAAACCAAACAGGGCCTGAGTTTGTTATTATTTCTTAATTATTGTCGTCGTTCTTTGATAAGCTGTGTGTGTTATTCTCATTACAGGTATGATAGATACAGCAAACCAATTATGTACTGTTCTCCATTTTATAAAAGGCGTGCCTTCTCATCGAGTGTATAATTTTATAAAAGAAAAGTATTGGAGTAGTTCTCTTATCATTTATGTCTTCTCAGCCACGGGAGAAGGCGTGCATGCGCGCTGAGCTGCAGCTTAAAAGCACAACTGCTGGTGCCACCTGCCGCTATGCTGGCAATGTGCCCCGCTGACTGCAGCAGCTGAGCTGATAGCTCCTACTAGTACTCCTATCAAACAGGCACGACACAAGCATGATTGACAGTGCGTGAAGCATGAAACGATGGCCTGCTGTTTTTTATTCCTTTCAAGTGCCTGAGCCCCGCTCGCCGTCCCGCCTCGTCCCATCGCTGCCCAGTCCGTCGCCCACGCCTCTGCGCGCGCACTGCAAAGCGATGCCGTCCGAATCGAAGCATGCTGCGTACCTGGTCACTGAGCTCCCTGACAGGCACGTGGTGCGGCTGCTCCATCCTGACGCAAGGGCACTGCTACACGCTAGTTTTTTTAATTATCCGAGGTTCGCCAGAGTCCGAGGTCGGCGGCGCCATGTATTATGGCGCCGAGGTACCGGCCACGTAGGATTTTCTGCTATGCACGGCCAGTTACCTCGGCGCCAAGATTTGTGGCGTCGAGACGTGTTACCTCGGCGCCAGAACTCATGGCGTCGACCCCCAGGGTCCAAAAATAAGTTTAAATCTTTCAGAGTGCCAAATATAAATTTTATTCAAAAAAAAAGGTTAAATAGTAAAAAATTAGGTCCCTCCCTCCTGTCTTCGGTGATGTGAGATGCTCGATACTTTCTGCACACATCATGGAACAACGTCGGTGCATGTTGCTCTACGGGGTGTCTGATTCTGATACGTAAGTAACGGCTAAAAAATGTTTTGGGTTTTGGACGCGAAATAGGAGCACTAAAATGGGCTAAGAGCAACTTCCGAACAGGCCCGTAACTCAATCCGATACTTTTCTGCATAGCGATAGCGGTTCTTTTCATCTAGTTTTCCCTAGGGTTCTTCGTACTAATCCAAGCGTTTCGACGGTTTGGTTTCTGGTTGTCCTCCGCTTTGTACTCCTCCCTCCGTTCTAATTTATAAGTTATTTTGACTTTTCTAGACAAACATATTTTAAGGTGCATAGTCCTCCGCTTTGTACTGCTCCCTCCATTCTAATCTATAAGTCATTTTGACTTTTCCAGATAAACATATTTTAAGGTGCATAGCAAAAGCTACGTAATAACTAAGAAAAAGCCAAAGCGGTCTATAATTTAAGTCAGAGGTGGTAGTTGAGTATCGGCAAATTCACCTCCTCTTCTCTTTTCCAGGCTTGGCGGCTTCTTTTGATCTAAACCTATGTTTTGCTCGGGGCGTTTTGTTAGACCCAGCTGAGCTTGACATGCAGCCAAACACCAAACCCTTGGTAGCTAGGGGGGAGATTCCAAATTACTCCCCTCAAGTTTGGCATATGTCCATATTACCCCTTAAACTTACATTTGGTTCAATTTACTCCCTCCAACTATTTCAGTTGGTCTAGTTTACCCCTTAACATGATTTGTTATTTTTGTTTTTCAACGTATTAGTTGAGTCTTAATATCAACTTTTGTGATATGATAGAGAACACCATAAGTTATGTTAGAAAAATATATCTTAACTTTTTACCACTATTTTGATAGCTTAGGAAATTTAATAATAAATTAACACTAGAGATACAATATCGTATAAAACATAATGATGAAAAATTTATAGTGCATTTTTCTAACACAAAAGACAATATCCTCTATCACCTCACAAAATTTGAAACTAAAATATAATTTGTACATATAGAAACAAAAATGAAAATTCTCTTTAAGATGTTGGTTGGACCAACTTAAATAGTTGGAGGGAGTAAATTAAATCAAATGTTAGTTTGGGTGTTATTTGAACATAGGCCAAACTTGGAGAGAGTAATATGGACTTTTTCCTAGCTAGGGCCATAGTTAAACTCTTGCCTAGCCAGGAATAAATCCAAGAATCAAATGCAGTATAAGCTACTCCATTTATGCAATACTATGCGGACAATGTCTTGCTGAGCTGGTCCAAATGGACACGTCATCGTCTACTCAATTCAGGGTTGCTAAAAGTTCCGAGTACTAAAACTTCAATGCTCAACTTTTCATGATCTTTGCTAGATCGATAATCAGTTGCTGAACTAGGGTAGGATTCTCAAACAATAAGTAACGTCAAAACTGCACCCACAATAGCTCCGGGGGCGGGGATACTCATGTATGTTTCATCACGACCTAGAATTCAAAGCGAAGATAAAACATGCTCACAGCACATACAGGGCTTTCCCTTGTCAGTGCCAAACGTTACAAACGATATCCATAGCAGCTAGTAGGGCTGATGCCGATTCTTGGTTTTCTTTTGCTGCTTCCACACTAGTGAACTAGAGATCCAAGATTTGTTTATCTCTGCAATTTCGTCAGAGCGCCAGCAGCACAAACGACCATCTTCACCTCCTGTCCATCCAAAGATGCCCCTGTTTTGCCCAAGGCTCTCATGGATTCCTGCAGAGGGGTACACGGACCTAACAACTCCTGTATGGCCTCCTTCAAGGATTGCTTCGGCTGGACCTATTGCTCCTGCATGATCATTTCTTAGAGGGAAGTAACCTAACGTCCCTGCAGCTGTGCCGCCAATCAACCATAGCCGGTCATCAGGCATAGAATAGTGACAGTCAACGAAATAGTCAACCTGCCATATGAAAAGAAAGAGTAGTAGAAATTGAGAAAATGGAAAAAATACCAAATATAAAAGAAACAATAGAAGGTGCAAAAAATAATAATATCCTAGATACGTTCAAAAGTAAACATACAAATGATATGATTTTCCTCAGTGCTAACTATGCCCTTGGAAAAAGGGCTCGAGGCAACCCAAGCGAAATAAAACAGTAGTTTGATGGATTATATGAAAATAAACAGAAACAAGAATTGAATCTGCATGAATAAGACAACCAAGATAGTTTCACTGGACAAGTGTCATCCCAGGAACAGATATCTAAAGCTGAATAACCATTACTAGAGAAGTACAACAAGACTCATCTCTCAAGAATCAAACACAGTAGAGAGAATTCCTTATTTGGTCTCCAAAATTCACTGGCTTCCCTCCTTGGGCGTACCCAGTGCAGAGAGCTCCCGCTCTGTGCGGGGTCTGGGGAAGGGTGTTAGTGGCAAGCCTTACCCTCGCCTGTGCAATGCGAGGAGACCGCGACTCGAACCCGGGACCTTCCGGTCACAGGTGGTAAGACTCTACCGCTTGCACCAGGCCCGCCCTTCCCTCCTTGGCCTTGAAAAAAATAGATTCTTTACCTATTTGACACTGGGTTCATTATTTATGCCTTATTTAGCCCACTGTTAGTTCTTGCTGTTGAAAGTGTTAAATCATTGATGAAATGACCCTTTTGCCCATCATGAGTTTTTAGGCACCATATATCCTAGGAAGCACCACACCAGGCTTTTGAGCATTTTAAGACCATGTATTATTTTGATGGATTGTTAATGTAAGTGACATTTATGATGTAGTAGTATGTAAAGTGGGGTAAAAAGAATACGATGAAATGTATTGTGGTACTAGTGTCAGCCACGTATTTTTAAAAAAAGAAAGGTAATAGCTATTGTCTACTAGTGTTAGCCTCAGCAGTAGACCAGTCATTGGGGAGGGTGTGGGCACACCCGCACTCCTCCACACTCAAATCCAAGTAGCTGATGCCCGCTCTATACCCTCCCCAAAATTACACAAATCCAGCTGCCCATAATCATTGGTTAATGGGGATGATTCGGGTAAGAACTCCATGTGCCGCAAACCTGAGTCACACGGGGCTCTGCGTGGGGGCCCAGAAGAGCTCCAGCCCCACCAGATTCTTCGGTCTCCATCACTGCCGCATGGTAGGATTTGGGAGAGATGACAAGGACAGATAGAGAGGGCCATGCATGCGACCCTGGCTGTTCAGTCCTAAGGGGCAGCTGAATGTATCAAGGGCATTTTCTTCCTTCTGTGAATAATCTGATCTCAGTTTAAGAAAACATATGGATGGAGCTCACCGTAGGGTCAAATGAGGCACAAATAATGAATCTAATGTCAAATAGCGAAGAAATATTTACCAAGGCCATGGAGGGAAGCCGATAAATTCCAGTGCTGTATAAGGAATTTTCTCAACAAAGTAATCACTAAGTTTGAATGCCTTTTTCATTGCGCACCTTGAACCACAAGAGTCAAGAGCAAAAGTAGCATGGGAAGTAATTATTTAATTCTGGCAAGGAGTGCTCTGAGCAGCTAATGCTGCTAGAATGAGGTTTACATAAAAGATGGGAAGTTGGAGACGGGGCAAAAATCAGATCCTTGGAGGACTGTATATTTGGCTGATCAAGCCTAGCCATTCAGTTCTAGCAGCTTTATAATATTGTCAATGAGAAAGGCGTTAATATTGCATGTCAATTTGAAATTTACCTTAAGAATTGATGGAAATGCTGAGTCCATCAGTTTTACCAATGAGTGTGATTCAGTTATATGGAACTTCATCCAAGGATACTTATTCTATTCAGTCCTTGAATGCAGCAGTGAACTTCAGAGGTATTACTCGTGTATAGTCCAGCATTCCAGCTAAGACTTGGTTCTTTTGTTGTGTAGAGGAAACTGTACAACAGTTGTTCTTCAACTGTTGTGTTGCAGTTGATGTTTGGAATATAATTTAACAGATTCTAGATGTACAGATCGGCTCTGATTTTGAGCCAGTTGCCAAATAGTAGAAATCTAATAAGAAACATGCTATGAGAAATGTCTGTTATGCAGATATTTTATGGAGCTTATAGAAAACTCGAACTGTGATATTTTATGGAGCCTACCCCAACTTGTTTGGGACTTAAAGGCTTTGTTGTTGTTGTTGTTGTTGTTGTTGTATAGAAATTAGAAAACTCGAAATACTCTTTGTTTTCAGGGAGAATGCTGATTGGATGTTAAGAGGGTGCTAAAAGCTGAGGTGAAGATGATGATAAGATGTGGAATTCTGTACAGACAGGAAGACCTACCAAGGGTGGATAATGGATATCATAAGAATGTTGGACAAGTTGATGAAAGCACCAATCAGGATTGGATGGCAATCAACGACGAGGTGATCAGAGCTAGGAAGATGTTCAGACGTGACAAATGTATCAAGCTGAGTGGCATCCCTTTCCTGTGTAGATCTGAGGAATTCTGAGCAGGATAGGGTGATGGGAGCATTAGTCTTGCTGGTACTTAGTTTATATAATATAACCTGAACTCGAGTGGTGTGGTGGGTGCGCATTCAAATATGCTATTCTGTTGGCTTTGTTTCACATTGAAATAAAGCAGGGGGCCTTATCTCTAAATAAACTAATATTTATTTAATTACCAGAAATGCTTTATAATACTCCATCTGTCCCAAAAAGGACTTTTGAGTTTGTCATAAGTCAAACTATCCTAAGTTTGACCAAGCTTATAGAAAAGAACAATAATATTTACGATCTCAAACGAGCACCATTAGGTCCATTATGAAATATTTTCATATTTTACTCTTTTGATGTGGTAGATGTTAAAACCCTTCTCCATAAATTTAGTCAAACCCAAAATATTGACTTAAGACAAACTCAAAAGTCCCTAGATTTTGGCAAAGAGTAATATATATGAAACTGTCCATCAGCATACATCAAAGCTCCATGCGAGGCCGAATATCATAAATGTACAAAAACAAATACATGCATTACTGATCCTAATGAATACTCACATGATCAAGGTTCCACCTATCAGTGGCCAAGGAACGAGCATCTTCTATATTCAATTCTCTAGCCCCGTCATTCCAGTCCCAGACACTGCAAGAATGTAAGGAAAACAACGTAATTGTCCAATGTTCAAGCTCTCATACTTGGATTATTTGAATTTTTTAGGGTTTGATTGGTTGCCTGCATTAGCATGTATTCAGGCTTGTGCAGTGCAGTTTACCCATGTTTGGTTGCCTGCAGAGGCTCTTGTGCAGGCTTGCACAGTGCTCAAAGCAGACCAATGCATTAACTAGTATGCTAAATTTTTTCCGTATTAGACAATGCAGATTTGCATAAGCCGATGAGCATACAAAAATAAATTATTTACACATTCTGTACCTTTACTAGAAACATGAGACCATTAGTAGAACATAGAAGGTGACTATATGCAATAAAATGTAAATAAACAAACACAATTTTACCGGAAGCGGCTTTCCTATGAAGGACAACCAAACACGAAGGCACTGCATACATTTATGCTGGCTTAGGTTGTGATGCATAAGGTCTAGTGCAGACTAAGCCTAAACAGGCAACCAATCAGACCGTAGGAAAAAAGGGATGCCTCATGAGTCATGACTATCAAGGCAATGAGTAGAAAGCTCAAACAAATGTCTTTACCAAGTGTATGATTAAGGGCCTATTCGGCACAGCTCTACCTGGGTAATCACAGGCTCCAAGAGTTCGTGGAGCTAGAGCCTGGGGCAGTGTTTGTGGTAGTCTTTTTTTGTGTGTGTGTGTGTGTGTGTGTGGTGGTGGGGCGGTGAGGGAGGGCATGCACGCCCGCTTGTTAATAAGAAAGGTGTGACACCAGGGTTCAAAGGCCACTTTGGTGAGGGCATACCAGGCACTCTTACCACCAGGCTACAGCTCAGTTTGCAAAAACGAGATCCAAACTAGGAGGAACTAGGAAAATGGGTTTTCATTAAGAAGAAACAAGCACCCAAATTCAAGTTATCGAGGACACTTTATTTTAAGTTACAGATTCCAAATCTGACGTGGTGCTGAGAGCTGGAGCTCTCCAAATGAGGTAATAAAATAAAAATGTAACAATGCACAAAGAAGCTACCTTAATGTCTCAATATGGGTTAAACACCAAAGCTTCTGATATGTATTCCCAAAAAAACCCACTTTGGCAACAGATGTTTCCGCATTCATAACCTATGGGAGATCAATTATCAGAGAGCAAACACCAGCAATTGATACAAATTATGGAGAAAAAAAATGTCACAACAAGTAAAGATAACCTAAAAGCACAATCTTGTATAACACCTGAATTAGTATTTAGCACAAGTTTACTTGCCAACAAGCTAGAAAGAGCACCAGCTACAAAAAGCTGTATCAGTTGTTTAATGAATTAGTTTTTAGTGATCACAGGACCACTATAAAGATTCAACAGCATGATAACATTGATATAGAGGACCACAAGGAATATTGCTCAAAGCTCTTTGGAATAGGTCACTACTAACTATAACAAGTATAGAAGATTGAACACTTCAATTTTTTTGACAAGTTAAAGATGACAAAATATGTAAGATACAACTATGAGTATATGCATACCGATAGCAGATGATTGTCCTCGTCAATATCACCATCAGTGTCAAAAACACATATTAATCCATCAACTGCCGCAGAAATGAGTTTACTTTGTTGATGTGGTGCGAATTTGACCTGTCGAACAAAAATAAAAATAAATCATCCACACCAGAAGTTGCAAGAGCCATGCGCCTGGTATAAATTGAGTCAATGCAAAAGTAGATGTAATGTAAAAATAGCATATTGATGAAGTGTAAAGTGCTTAAGGGGCAAAAGCAGATTGTGTGATTGTCTTTAAAGAACTGACACAATCTTGTTCTCTTTAAATACACTGTGCATGTTACAAGAACGTATAAGTTGTTCAATTCTTAGGATAATAACTGTTTCTAAAAAAGAAAAAGAAAATAACAACACTGCAAGGACACATGAATTTTTTTTCCTAAAAAAAGATAAGTTAATGTTGGTGCGAATATCATCTGCTAAACCTTCTTATAAATTGATTAGTCTGAAGCAGAGCTTTTGTTCAGCATGCGTCATGCTCTACAAATAATCGTTTGTATCCAGCTTCACATTAATTATTAGTGTCATAATACTAACAGTTCTTAGTATGAATAAAAAATACTGAGGGAATCGCATTATTTAATACAAGTACAAATACTATGATACAATTCTTTGGTTTGAGAGAATTTCTTTTCAAATTGTAAAATGAAAAAATGCAAATAAACTTGGATCAACAAGAATAATACGTACTTGTGTCACATCATCCATGTGGGATTCCTCTAAGCATGCAATTTGTTTTGAACTTCTCCAATCCCAGAATAAAACCTATAAGGAAGTGATTAGGAGATCCAATATTAATTAAAAGTTAAAAAAACATATCAACCAAATTACAACACCTCCATGCCAAAAGATGCAGATCGCGGACCAACTAAAGTGCATAATTCTAGCTACCATGTGTGCGTGCTTGGAAATGTTTATAAGCTGAAGATACCAGAAGCAAATGACTTATATACTACGACGATGAATAATAACTTTTGCATAATATAAGGTTAGCAACATTGGGAGTATGGGATTCCCACAGCCAAAATGCCTTCCTTGGTAAGAGAATCCAAACGCCTAACTTGCACCATATATGTAGAGAATTCAGGACAAACTACATATAACTTAAAGCCTAGTGGGATAAAATAGAGAAACTAATTGCGAGTGTTTATACATAGGGATCATGACGGAAACTATCGGTGACATGTGATTAACTCTTCAGGAAAACTAATGATATGGATATCCCTGTTTGGTCATCCAAGTCTCCCTCCCTCCCTCCCTCCTTCCCTCCCTCTGCTTAGGGACCTTAGCGTACGATCTGGGCTGTTTCCCTCTCGACTTTGGATCTTAGCACCCAATCAGTCTGTCTGTACTAAGGATGACAGCCTGTATTCGGAGTTTCCCTGGGGTTGGTACTTGGTAAAGCGAAATGGGGGCCACCCTAGCCCATTGAGTGCTCTACCTCGGGCCATCGACATCATACGCTCTACGGAAATAGATTTCGCAGGAAACCAGCTATATCCGAT